GTGTGTGTGCAAGTATACAAAAATCCTTGGAATTGCCCATTGCTCTTTCTATTTACCAAAACTGCTCAAAAGCAGGATTTCGATATCGATTACTTGGAAACGCGGAAAGTTATCAAATATCGGAAACAAACTCGATCTGCGCGGGCAGTAAGAGGACCTAAAGCTAAAATTTCTGCTCTAGCTCTACGATATGGCTAGATCGACTAGGCTATTGATCCTGATCAAGAATATATATATTTTTTAAGGGGTCGGAGATGCTTCCTTCTGCCTGTTACATACATTTGCACAAACATTATACCCCTTTTACCCATTGTTAATTGGTTCAGGGTATAAAAACAGGGATAATTAAAAAGCGTATTAGCGAAACGCAAAAACACTTGGCATACAGCATAGTTGTTATAAGACGGATCAAAATTAGGTGCCATTATATTAAAAATTTGTATAGCCACATACAATTTGTTATTTTCTGTGGTTTCCTTTTTTTAATAGTTAACTCACTTATCAATCGTATGTGAAGTACACACATATGTAGGTAGAAATAACTCCTGTATAATAGGATATGTATTCCGCTTCATAAGTTAAATTATTTCACTACACCAAACACTTTTTCATTGAACACAATACCAAGAACCTTTTATAGGGAGAGCGTGTTCAAACAATGAGCATATTTCAATACAAAAGTTGGGGTGAGTTTAAATATATTATTTTTCCCCCATTGTTCATTAATGCGTTTTTATCTTTCAAAAACATGCCACTGTTGTCCGCATACGTATTTCAATGTGCTCTAGAGATGCTTTATTCTAAGGTAATCACCACTCCTGTTTAGATGGGTAGGCATTGTATAAAATTTCCAGATAATAAAACTCAAGGGTGACAATGCACAACTCAAATATTTTTATTGTTATAACACGTCACACCCCGTAGCTGTTGTTAGTAAAGTAATTGCTTAACCTAATGACAATTATATTATATTTAAAGTGTAAAGTTTTGTTATCGCCATTCCCAAAATTTGTTCAGCAATGTAAACATTAACTAAATTCGTTTGCATTTCCAATAGGGGTTTGTACAAATATATATATACAAGTAATTATTGGCCACAGCATCAGTTTTACTTTTATTTATATTTTAAATTATAGTTAATGTTTTATAGACATTGGCGTCACAAGCTATAGCTATCTAATAAATGTACATTAAAACAATATTAAACAACTTTTTTCACATATTTCTCTATGTTACAATTCTATTCCTATAATGCAGTAATCTAGCCGGGAGTGTCCGATTAGAAAATAACTTTCCTTATTATACACACATTTTTCCGGTTTGTACCTATTGAAAATAAACAAAAGGATAAAATGGTTTTGGGCAACTGTATGAATAGGCAGACGGAGGCGTTTTCTGGCTCTATAAACATTAAATTTTCATAATCAGCTTCAAGAGCAGTGGTGACCTTCCGTCTGTCTGAATGCATTAACATTCTCGGTGTTTACGAAACCGATAACGCTCGATTTTAGAATTAAATTTTCTGAGCATATACAAAAATACAAAAAATCGACATACCAAATTTGGTGCTGTTATCCGATAATAGACTTTATGGAAACAAAACACCTATGATAAACTACGCTTTATAGTAGAGTTTTCCCATGTTGATTTTACCTTGTCTTTAGGATAAGGGCAAAGTCGCTTTGGTTATGAACTCTTTAAAAACAGCAAGAAGCAATGAGTATATTCAGTACGCCTTGTAGACTTAACATATATCTGACGGCATTTTGCAAATATCTGCAGCTTCTTATTCATATATGTATATGTTTATGTCTTGAAAAACAAAAAGAAGATTAATGGGCTCAAGGTATCTTTTTGGCACTCCCGATTAGAGCACGCTTGCTTGCTTTTATTACTTTTAACTATCGGTTTACATGTACAAAAATCGACTTATTTGTAGGCCCTTTAATAAAATTAACTGAATCGTCTTAGTTGAGGTGTGCGTAAGTTATGGTGATGTATTAAAACAGGAAAGAACAGCTATCTTGGGCACGCCAAACATAATTATCCTTGTACACACATGGGGTACGGGTTCTATGTGAAGAGAATATGAACTTCCTGTAAAAGTTTAGTGAAGATTCGAATTTTTCGACTGATAGGAAGTTATAAAGACATATTATGTGGTAGTCCGACGTTAGTGAGATTTTGCTTTTATGCAGGAAGCATAGTGATCCCCAAAAAATGTTGAGCTTGGTTAAGGCACCTTAAATAAGTAAAAAGGTTCATAAAACACCCAAATTTTCCCTCAATCATTTTTGTGGCAGATATTTTCATGGTGATCCATGGACTGGTATTAAAAAAACACACTTGAGCTAATAGGTGCTAGGATAGGATAAGATATTTTAAATAACAAACAAGTAGAGCCCGAGTAGGGGATACCCTGAACCCTGTTCTTCCAACACCAAATGCAGCTCGAGCTACGCGTTCGTTTGCTTTAGTAGTCATAAAACTAAATAAAAAAATAAAAATAGTTTCCTCAGTAGGTTTCGAACTTGAAACGGTTTGGGTTGAATTGAGCCTAAACCACTGACGACAGGGGGTGTGCAAACCTGATGACGCGCAGTGTATATTCCTGCGTTGGGCTTGCCGCCGCAAAACCCACAAACGTGTAAACAGTCAATGAAAACAGGTGGATCGAACTTCTTGCTCGCTTGCACTTTGATATGGATCCAGACGCATGCCAAACATTCGGACTGTTAAAAAAAAAAAACAAAGACCGTGCCTGTCGACCAAATTTACGCACCCATTGATGAAAATATCTCTGTCTCACGAAAAATCCTTAATCAGCTCATTTGCACACATTTGTGTGTGTGTATATGTGTGTGTATCGAGCTCAAAATTCACAAATGCCAAAAACTTAAAATTTTTCAAATTTGCCACGTTTCCAAGTAATCGATAAGAATCGGTATGGAAGTCCTATTTTTTTTTAGCAAATATGGTAAATAATAAAGCTAGTGCCACCAGTATTGCCCATTAATTTGCAATTGAATTTTTGAGAATATAAATATGTTCTATTGAACAATAAGATCTACTGTTCAAACTTTCATCAAGACCAGTTAAGGAATACAAAAATTATTAACGAAAATGTGTTTTGGCTGCCCAAGTGGTTGGGACAGCAGCGCAACTGGCAAGAAATAGTGTATACATATACACACAGACATTCATACGCGTCTTTATAAAATTGTATCAAGAGCATTGCAATTGCGATTGTATTGTTTTCTGTGTTACTATTTTAATTTGTTTTTTTTTTCAGGTAAGAGTCAATTGTTGTTGTGGCTGTTGAATAGAGGCGGCGGCAGTAGTGTGGTCTGTTGAGCTCGAGACGTACGGCGGAAACATTTTTTTTATTTTAAATTTATTTGTATTGCTGCTCAAACGAGAGCGCAGTGCGAGCTTAATTTGGCGTTGGTAGAAGTGGGCTCAAGGTATTCTCAAGCTCACGACTAGAGCCTCTTACTTGTTTTGTAATGCTAAAGCAAATGAAAGCGAGGTTCAGGGTATATCCTAGGCAATCCCTCCAGAGCAAAGCTCTCTTTGAGATCACTTTTTGACGACTTCAAAACAAACATAAGGTTTACGTGTAAGTATCAAAATACTATGGTTAATTTTTGTATTATTAAATTATTATTATGATCATTGAGAAAAATTTAATCACACAGTCTTTTGTAAAGCCGGTTTTACAGATGTGATAAAAGAAAGAAATGATGATACAAATTTTGCATAAGAACGACATTTACTTACTTAATATTCTTTTTAAAACAAAAAGAATACAGTATTTTTACTATATTCCTACAGAAACTAACTAAAGCTTTAGATATTAACGGTTAATTATTGATTTATGTACCTCAACAAAGATTACTGGACATTGGTACACGGACATTCCAGAAAATGTTGTATTATTATCACAGCATTTAATTTGGTATAGTGGCTTATAGAACAAGTAAGAGATTTTAGTCGGGAGTTCCCGATAAGGGGGCACCCTGAACCCTCTTCTACCAAAACTGAACCCATTAAAATTGAATAAAAAGGGTATAATGGATTTGTGCATATGTATGTAACACGCAGAAGGTATTACCTTCTACCCCATAAAGTATGTATATTCTTGATCAGCATCAATAGCCGAGTCGATCTAGCCATGTCCGTCCGTCTGTTCGAAAACGTGTGGTTATTACATATTGGCAGCCTACGTGTCAGCGGCAGTTAGCGCAAATCGCAAGAATTTCTGCCTACATGTACACACACAGATTCACGCGCGTCTTTATTGAATTTTATCAACAGCATTGCATTTGCGATCGTATTGTTTTCTGTGCTGTGTGTATGTGCTCCTATTTTAATTGGTTTTATTTTTTCAGTATCGATTAGTTGTTGGCTTGGCTGATAAGTAGAGGCAGCGTCAAGTAGCGTTGTTTGTTACGAGCTCGAATCTTATCGAGGGTACTAAACTTTTTTTGTTAACATTTTTTTTTTATTACTGCTAAAGCGAACGAGCGCGTAGTGCGGGCTGCATTTGGTGTTGGTGGAAGAGGGATCTGGGTATCCCCTAGTCGAGAGCTTCCGACCAGAGCCTCTTACTTGTTTTAAATAACTTTACCTTTGCGCAACTCCACAGCCTATGAAAATGATGAAAAAATATAAAACTTTCAGCATTTATTAATTTAAGCAATCCCTTCTTGAAAAATATTACGATTTTCGTCCAAAGAACATGTGCAAAACAAGGCATTTTGATCTACATTTTACCCCAAAAATATATAAACATCGACGTGTTCCTAAATATTCGTTTAAACTAAATTAAAAAAAAAAATAGCAACACAAATATCTTCTATTTTAATTGCTCTTAACTTGGTGATAAGCCTTATCAATATATGAGTGTACATAGGCATTCCCGTTAGGTTTTTAATCTTAATCTTTTTAAAATATCTTTTTATTTTAATATTAATAGTAAAGTATATTTAATTGCTTACTTGTGTGGGCGTCAAGTGAATAAGACTTGCTAAATGTTCTCGCTCAGGGGCCGACAAATATCGTTGTTGCTTAAATCTTCTCTCGAGCTCATAAACCTTAAAAAAATAATTACAAACACTATTATAACCTTTATTAGAAAATATTTTCTATTCAAGGTTTCAATCAGAATCTAATAGTTCGAATACGTACATGCATTCCTTGTATATAACAATTAAAATATACCAAAGACCATCAAACCAAAAAGTTACTATGCATATTGATTTTAAAATATTGAGTGTCTTTATTAGAGAGGACGATTGGATTAAAATACTTTGTCTCCGATGTTGCAGGCAGAAATTTGAATACCCAACATTAAAAGATAAACAGAGCTCATGCGCATACAAACATACATACATACATAAACACAATCTTATTTAATTGCGCCCGAACTTCAGACCAGCAGCTTCTAAACAATTTCCATTAGGAACAACAAAAACCAATAATCAACACAAACAACTCGGCAATGAAATTGGCAGACAAAAACAAATTAAACAAGTGAGAGGCTTTAGTCAGCAGTTCCGGAGGGGATACCCTAACCCCTCTTCTACCAACACCAAATGCAGCTCGCGCTACGAGCTCGTTTGCTTTAGCAGTAATACTTACAAATAAATTAAAAAATTATATACATATATAGTTCCCTAGATAGGACACGAACTCGTAACAGACCGCGCTATTTGCAACCGCCTCCAGCCAACCAACAGCCACACCAAAAATTAAGTCTTAATGAGAAAAAACAGATTGAAATAGCAGCACTATATACAATACAATCGCAATTGCAATGCTGTTGATAGAATTCAATAAAGATGCGAATCAATGGTTTGTGCACATTTATACAGAAATTCTTGCAATTTGCACTAGCTGCCGCTAACATGTGGGCTGCCTATATATATATAACCCCACGTTTTCTTTAATAACTTCTGCGTTTTTTAACCGATTTTGATGAAGTTTTCAACAGAAGATCTTAATGTGCTATAGAATTTTCGAAAGTCAATTGCATTAAAACTGTGCCTTAAATTGGTGGGCAATGCAAATTGGATTATTAATTTGATTTATCGATTTAAATCGATTACTGGGAAATGGGGCAAGTTATCGATTATCAAAAACAAACTCGTACTGCTCGGACACTATACGTTCTGAGATCGTTGCGTCCATAAATACGGACGGACGGACAGACGGACAGACATACGGACATGGCTAGCTCGACTTGGCTATTGATGCTGATCAAAAATATATATACTTTAAGGGGTCGGAGATGTTTTCTTCTGACTGTTACATACATATGTATGTACAAATACATTATACCCTCTTTACGCATTGTTAATGGGTTCAGGGAATAACAAATTACCTTTTGATCAATGTTGTAACCAAGGACCTTTAATCTTCTTATATAACAATTTTTACCCAGTGTCAGGGAAAACAAATAAGAGTGCTCCGATTAAAATGACCCTGAACCGTCTTCCAATACCTTCTACTAAGCGCTCGTTTGCTACAGCGCTTAAAAAAATATTTAAAAACAAATAAAAGGCTCTAGTCGGGAGCTCCCGACTACGGGATACCCTGAATCATCTTCTTCCAACATCAACTGCAGGTCGCGCTATGCGCTCGCTTATTTTAGTGGTAATAAAAATAAATTAAAAGAGAAAGCAAGAATATCTTCGGCATTCCGAAGATCATATACCCTTGCAGACTCAACCTTTTCATAATGCTTATAGTGCTTTGCCCGTATCTCAGAAGCACAGGGAAAATATTTAATGCCGAGTTTGGTCAAGATATCTTGATAAGCAAAAAAGGAGCATAGTGAAATCTTTAAATGCCGTGGTTAATCAAAATATCTTGAATGACAAAAAAGTTTTCGATACCAAAAACTTAATTTTTGACCGATCGTTCCTATGGCAGCTATAAGATATGGTGATCCGATGTTAATAGGATTTTGCATATATATGAGGAGCATAAGTAAACTAATAAATGCCGTGTGTGACCACACATATCTTGATAAACAAAAATGTTGTTCATACAACTTAATTTTCGACCGATCGTTTGTATGGCAGCTATATGATATAGTGGTCAAATCCAGCTGGCTCTGACAAATGTACTGTGTGGAACAGAAAGAGGGACTTCTGCAAAGTTTTATAATGATTGCTTTAAAACTAGATCGTAAGAAACAGACAGACGGATAGACGGACATGGCTATATCGACTCTGCTTTTGAAACTGATCAATAATACATATATATATACTTTATGGGGTCGGAGATCTCTCCTTCTATGCGTTACACATTTTACGACTAAATTATAATACCCTCTGCAAGGGTATAATAATCTTTAGCACAACTAGATCTACTGCAGTGCAAATCGCAAAAATTTCTGTTTACATGTACACACACATATTCACGCGCGTCTTTATTGAATTCTATAAACAGCATTGCAATTACGATTGCATTGTTTTCTCTGCTGTGTTAATGCGGTGCTATTTGTATTGGTTTTCTTTTTTCGTAAGATCTAAATTGTTGGTGTAGCTGTCGAGAAGAGCCGTTTGCAAGAGTTTCTAGTGAGAAAACGATTTTTCTTGTAAATGCTAAAGCAAACGAGCGCGTGGCTTGAACTGCATTTGCTGTTGGTAAGAGCGAGTTCAGGGTATCACCTATTCGGGAGCTCCTAGAGTCTCTTACTTGTTATATATTTGCACTTCCATTCTGCTTTTTGTTTCTACGTTTTGCCTTTTTTGTGATTTATTTTAAAAGCTTTTATTACTTGGGCAAAATGCTATCTGTTGTGCAGCGTAAGTTTATAAATTATTGCATTTACTGAAAGCGCATAGCCGAAAATTGTTAATTGTCCCAATTTTTGCATTTGCCGTATACATCTGTCCTAACACCTACTCCCAATGCTGTCATTATCGCCTTCTCCAAGCGATTGTCTTCGTTCTGCTCTTTGAAGCGAACAGGCGTTTTTTGTGTGTTCCCTGTTTGCTTTTTTGGTTTTAAGAAAACACTGGTGTTTCAATATATCTCTGTTTGCCTTATCGCTTTATTTCTTTTTTCTGGCCTGTGCATTTTAAGCATATTAATATTGTTATTTTGAAACTAGTGTTCTTGTGCATTTTTGCATGTGTTGTTGTTCTTTATATTTAACTAAACATCGCCTTTCTTGGGGTGCAAGATCTTGTGAGCAATCGCATTTATGCGTCAAACCAGGAATGGCTTTAAGGGTCTGATTGTTGGTTTTCGCAAACTAAACGATCAGCTCACAACTTGCAATACCTAATTTAATAGCCTAAAACTGTTGGATGAGTCTCCAGGGTCTAAAAAGTATACTCTTGATGATTTGCCGTTCTCTAATATCCTTCAGTCTTCGACTTACTATCTATTTTGTTACTCCGGTAGCTGTAATCGGATATTAATCGGGTAATTGAAATAAGGTTTGGTAACTCAAACGATAAAGAACAAGTAAGAGGCTCCAGTCGGTAGTTTCCGACTAGGGGATACCGTGAACCCTCTTATACTATCGATTGCTTATCTGCGCGGGCACCAAGCAGATCTACTACCATTTTTTAGTTTTAACGGGGTCTAAGATGCTTGCCTATTTCATAACACCAGCTATATAAATGGCATTCGCACAAATACGGTTCCTAAGAAGAGTCTATAACAAACTGCCACGTTACGCCATATTATGGCGTTCTCTTTTTTTTAAATAATTGCGAAACACTGCAAGCTATTTTTTATCATCAGCTCCAAGCCGGCTAACATAGTTTATTTGTTTAAAAATCGTTGTCAACTTAGTAAAATCCGTCAAAATCGCAAATCGCGAATCGATAACACGCAAAACTGTGTGATGCCAATCGCAGGCTACAGACTAAATCCATTTCTGGTTCTTCTGAGCATCTCTTTCTCCCTGCATAGCTTCCCACAAAACCCCGAGATCTACAAACATACATATGTATGTTTGTGTTGTGCGGATGTGCGCACAAGTAAATCACGGCATTGTACCTTAATTAAGATAATTTTTAAATACGGAAATGATGCTTAGCGTAAATTCACATTTTATTAATTTAATTCGCATACATATTGATGTGCACTTCTACATACAAGAATACTAATCAGAAATAGGTTGTGCTTCGCGCTCGCTTGTTTAGGCTTTAGCCGAAGAAAAGTATTTCTTGTATGATTTATCTTTTCTAATGGGTGAAAGGATACCAAAAGCATTATTACCAAAAAAAATGAGCAGCATAATTATTTTTTGTGATTGGTTTTCTGTTTAAAACATTGAGCAAATTTTGATGCTGCCTACTAAAGAATATCATAAAACCCTGTGCCGAGCTACCTTTACAAGCATTCTAGCTTCTTTCTTACATACATACAGAAAACACGCATACATAAGCATGTACACGCACACGCTATGTCACACAAATGTGCGTAATACAAAAACGGAAGACTCTCTCTTCAACCGTTAGTTTTTGCAAAAGGGGGTAGTATCAGTTAAGTGAAAAGTAAGGGAAGAATAATGATTAAAATCTGTGTTTACCTTACGAGAACGAGAGCGTACACACCATTTGTTTATCAATTTGCAAATTTGGACCTCCTCTGCAATATCAAAGCCCTACTCCCTGCGCCATATTTCAGCATCTTGAGCTCATTCCTGGTAGGACGTACCTTCATCGTGGCCGTCAAAGACCGAAGCTCGGGTGTCAAAGGCATCAAAGCAGGTGTCCCACAGGACAGCGTCGTCGGTCATATGAAGACAACGCATTTTAGCCCTCAGCCCCGCGAGACTGCTGGAGGCAACGTAATCGGATGATACCGACTTCCTAGTTTGGCATCAACACCTGCAAGCTGCAATAAGTGCAGTGCAGGACTGGCTGCTGCAGGTCGAAACTTAGATAGCTAATTGGAACATCGCCATTAACTGTGCCAAGTCCGGTGGCTCACATTCAAGCTGACAACTGTCTGTCAGGGGCTTCGGTTCGGTGGAGGAACCATTAAGCACACCAGTTCATTTTGCTACTTGGGCGTCCACTTGGGCCGAAGGTTCATAGGGGATCCCACATCACAGCAAGAAAAGCAAAATGTCTAAGAAGGCTGCCAAAACTCGACTGGCTCTTAAAACCGCAAAGCAGGCTCCACATTTCCACAAAGGCGCTGCTTATTAAATCGATGATAACGCCCATCTGGACATACGCCATCCAAGTTTGAGGCAGAGCGACAGCACAACAGCTGGGCCGCATAAGATTGGTCCAAGCCAAGGCAGCACGCAAGGCCGCCGGCCTGCCATGTTATGTAACAATCGACGCCATCGAACGCGATCTCCGCCTAATAAAGGTCGGATATCAGTTAAACTTATTCAGCAGCCGATACGCCGACAAGCTGGGGTCCTGGCTGACCTCATCACTGAGAGGCGTATAATTTAACAAAATCCTTCCCCATCACTGTAAATAATTTCATTGCATATATTATGTAAGTTACAAAATGGCAACTATACATAATCCCCTTAGTCATTCGGTTGGTAGAGATCAGAAGGCACTGATCGATTCCAGCAAAAAATAAATAAACTAAAAAAAAAAAAAAAAAAAAAAAACAAAAAAAAAATTATAAGCACAAAACTTGCAACGGGAAAACACTACTGATAAGCTATATGTAAAATATAAAGAAAAGGATATAAAAAAAATTATATTTATCTATTGCTTAAAAAAGAAGGAAAGTAAACATTTTTGAGTTCGACGCGTTCAAAAATATAGCAAACGGACAGATGGAAGACAGAAGGACGTGGCCAGATCGAGTTGACGATTGATGCTGGCCGATAATATATATATATTTTATGGGGTCGGAGATGCTTCCTTCTGCCTGTAACAAACATTTGCACAAATACATTATTCTCCTTTTTACCCATTTTCAATGGGTTCAGGGTTAAAAATGTATTTGAGTCGTGTTTTACACTTCTTGGATAATAATTAATCCAAATACTATTGTGGAAATTTATTTGGTTCGGAGATGTGGGTCACAGGAAGTAGTTTTATTAACTTTACTGTTCTTTCGTCTGAAAAATGCTATAACTCTGATTTTTAGTGGATTTTCTTTAATTCATAAGCCTATAAATAGTAATACATTTTAATCAATGTTTATGTAATAATTTTTTAAACCATCATTCTTCATAATACTCTCATAAATGCTATCAGTATAGAGACATTTAATAATTTAAGGACATTTTGCTTCAGGTATCTGTGATGGCATTTTGTGTATGGCTGTACGTCCTGAAATTGTCTTCCAGATTCGTATATATCGTATATTCGTCTTGTATCTAACCCCATACATTCTCAATTTAAAGGAGAACAGGAGAATTAGGCTTACACTCCATTACTCTAGTTGTATAAATTGGGGCATTATCTTATCTTATCTTATCTTGTTGTTAAATTCGTGATAATTATTGGAAAATGTTGTATGCGCGAAAAAAGCGCTTTCTCGAGAATTGCTTATAGTGAGTTGCATTTTTTATACCCTGAACCCATTAAAAATGGGTATAAGGGTATATTGTATTTGTGCAAAATCCAAATGTATGTAACAGGCAGAAGGAAGCACCTCCGACCCCATAAAGTATATATATTCTTGATCAGCATCAATAGCCGAGTCGATCTAGCCATGTCCGTCTGCCTGTCTGTCCGTCCGTCCGTCTGTGTGAACGCAAGGATCTCAGAACTCTGAGTTTGTTTCCGATAATCGATAACTTACTCCGTTTCCAAGCAATCGATAAAAATCTATATCGATATCCTGTTTTTTGGGCAATTTTGGTAAATAATAAGAGCTAGAGTCACTAAACTTGATATATAGCTTCTAAAATAAAATATATATATATGCATTTGATGTTGGAAGAAGAGGGTTCAGGGTATCCCCTAGTCGGGAGCTCCCGACTAGAACCTCTTACTTGTTTAAGACGTGTGTCAGTTGGCATGGTACACAATATAAGATGGCACCCCATGCCATAACACTTTTCTCATAGCTAAAGAGGCGGGACACAACATGTTTTTGCTTTGGAACAACTTTATAGTAACAGTTTTAACTGTCAATCCCATCTAAATTGAACGCTTCTCATCAGAAATTATCCTGGATTGCCGCTATGTTATAAAACAGCAAAGCCCACGACCCTAGCAAAATTCTTGTCCCAATTCAAGTGCATGTCCCGTATTCGCGTATATACAAATATGTGCTTATCGGCCACAGTACAATAAAATGAAATTTAAATATTTATAACACTATAATGAAAAAGAATTTGATATTTACAATACACTTCAATGCCTAACTTATCAACAACAAAAATAAATACCTTTTTGGGAGTATATTTGCATTGTACACATGTGTGCGTACATTTGTCGTTCCACAAACACTACTGTCGAATATACTACATTCATATATTTATACATCTTCATATCTTGTTCGTATGTGTGTGCAAACATAACCTATGTATTTTCTTAGGTGCATTTGTATGTGTAAGCATGTACGCAAATACAAATATGTGAGTTCAATCAAGCAATGGTAAGCAAAAAGTCCTTTAATACACTGTTCAAAAAGTGCAGGCCGTATAAACGTTTATTTATTTTATCCTGTTTGCTGTCCAGTTCCGCCCCATAAAATATATATACCCTAGATCAGCATCAACAGATGAGTTGATGCAGCAATGTCCTGCTCCCTTTTTCTATGCAAAGCAAAGTTCATACTCGGCCTTTTCAAGTTCTAGTATGCTCCTTACATATCTGTAAATTCTTATGAACATCAGACCACCTGATAATATAAGTAGCGGAAAACGGAACGATCGGAACAAAAGCCGTACGGCTAAGTGCGTCTTAAGGTTTTAGGAAATTCCATCCATAGGTATGGAAAAATTAAATGAAAACAAATTTTCGGGTTCAAATAAATTTTAAAGGATTCTTGTGCAAATTCAACTGTTTTACACTTGTTACGGGATCCAGGCTTCTTTCGTGAAAAATGGGGATAAACGATTTTTTTTGGCGAAATTTAAAGTTTTTTATGAATAAAGTTATTTTTTTGGCGAAATTTTAAGTATTTTATGAATAATGTTATTTTCGCAGCCTTTCATTCATTAAATATGGATTTCAACGGCTTAGAAAATAAACTGTGGTTAATTGGCTGAAATCGGCTGTTCAAAATAATTTTCAACTTGTTAAAATTCATCTGATATGTGTTTAACATTTTTCGCAATGTCCACCCCATTTGAATGCAAAGTGATGGTCAAAGGTTTAATATGCGAAGTTTCGGTTTGGTCATTTGCAAAGATATTTTTGAGGCAATTTATTAAAACGCGATTTGCAATTTTTATAAATTCCACCCGTCCTGGGCGGAAAATGAGGTTAAAGCTTGTATAGGGCAAGTTTTAAGTTACGTTCAATCAGTTTCAAACTAATTTTCAAAGCTTTTTTTAGCAGGAAAAACTAATTTTAGTCACGTATACCACAGAGCGACCATAATATCCCTAAAATCTCTAATATCTGTTAAATGCAAAAGCATTTTATTTTAAGCGTGCCAAGTATAGCAGTTCCTTCTTGTTATACCTTGTACCCATTAAAATTGAGTACTAAGACCCTACAAGTTAGTGGTATGTAGTTCTACTAGTAAGTATTTTTTTTAAGACGATGAGCTTATTCAAAAAAAAAAAGCTGGACCCACCAAACTTTGTGTGTATGTTCTCGAGTAGGATATATAGATTAAAAATATTTCACTTTTTAGATACCTTCCCCCATCGCTTTCAAAATACATAAAACTTATATTTAAATTTAGAGCCTTGCGATTTGGTTTTTAATAACATTAGTTTACATAAACGAGACATTTATTTGCGCATGGCTTAATATTTTGGATTGTTGGATTTAAAATCAATTTAATTCCAAAAGTATTAACACCTAATACCTAATCGATCTTAAAGAAATTTTCAACAGTAGATTGTACTGTACGATAGAATATTCACATATTATCAAAAGCACACTTGCATTAAAATTGTGGTTTAATTTCCTAAAGACATGACATATGATATAGTGGTCCAATCCGACCGGATCCGATATATGTATGTAATACCTGCAAGAGAAAGACGGACCTTTGCAAAATTTCAAGACGACGGCTTTAAGGCTAGCGGACGGACATGGCCTTATACACTCGTATATATACTTAGTGAGGTCGGATATGTCTGCTGCTATACCGTACACATTTTATTACGAAAATATAATATTCTTTACTAGGGCTTAAAAGCAGGCTCGCAATCTAAGTAAGGAAAAGCTATGAAAAACAGCAATTAACACTGCTTTAAGTCGAGAGTGCCCGTTTATCAGATACCCTAGCCAGTATATTTTATGAATTTTATATTTTATTTTGTATAAACCATACGAACATTTGTAATGTAATGTTAAAAAAAAGTAAAAGCGCGCTCGTCGGGAGTGTCCTCCTTCGAAGTCTTACTCGGAACTACCTTCAATTGATTTATTCATATGATTTATAGCTTTGGCTAGAGCCGGGCTGACGGTAAATATAAAATGAAGGATAATTGATCTGCATATACTATTTTAAAAAGTACATGTAAAATTTGGTGACTCCACTACTAAAACCTAAGTTACCGATTATCGGAAACAAAGAAACAAAGCTTTAAACATCTGGTCTCTAGCTAGATCGACTCGGTATATACTTTCGCAAAAAAACATTATACCCTTTTTCCATTTTCAAATGGATCGGGGCACAATTAACTATCCCTTAAAGTCTATTCTTATCGACATTATGAAAATAAGAGGAAATGGGAGAAGATATCGAAATGGATGATAAGTTCGTATTGCGTAGATTTCGACTCGTTCACGCAGATCGACTTAGACCATCATCCTGATTAATAAATAATATACTATATTTTAAGATATTACAAACCTGTGCTTGTGTAAATAGAACTCTTCTTTTTCGTCTTTGTGCCAAAGGAAATTGTAGGGGCTTTGCATCATTTACGCTGCATGCAGCTAGGCCTGTCATGTTGCCCATGTGGCCCATCGATCCACTAGCTGATGAACTCATGAGCCGCGATACTGTAACAAAAGATGGTTTTAGATTAATTTTTAATTGATTAATGTGTAGAAAAATAACTATTCGGGAGCTTTCGATTTTTTCCCGGAAAATTTCAAGCAAGAACCTGGGGCAAGAAACTTTATTTTCATGCAGGCCCGAGCCTGTACTGAAAATCGCGAATAGTAAAGGCATGATGAAGCCTGGGACATAAGTAAGTAAAATAGTGGTCAATATCAGAATATGGCGATACAAGGAATTGACAAAAGCGCCTTATTGCTATGAAATTAAATGCTGTGCCAACCCTGAACCCATTAAAAAAATTTGTGTAACAGGGATAATGAAGCAAAATCAAACTCATAAAGTGTATATATTCTTACTAATGCACACATACACATATGCTGTGCTGTGTTTATATGCTACTATCTTAGCTCAGTTCTTAATCCATAATAGGGTATGGCTGCAAAGTATAAGTAGTCTATCTCCTTGTCCATCAAATAGATAATAGGTGGTTCATTATAAGGGTATCAAGGTATCTCCAGTTTGTGTATGAATGGAGCACCACACTTGTTAACTACCACAAATAAATTTCCTTATTTTAGAATAAATTATCCCAACAATTTAGTGTGAAGAAACATTTTTCCTAAAATATGAGCCCTTGAAAATTGTTGAAAAGAACTAAAAATGCTAAAAGTGTTGTTTGAGAAAATGAAAGGAGTAGGAGAAAAAAACACGCCTGTTTACGTTAAATTTTTAGGGGATCCATCATGAGGGGTGAGGGGTGTTCCGCACTTTTTGGAAAATCCCTCCCTCCTTGGTGGAAACGGGGGTCAAGAATTTGGTGGTGACGTGTCGCCCTTAAATTAATTTCCATAAATCTATATGAAAAATCATTTGAGACGTATTTCTCACTTTTCGCAGAATCAAAGCTTTCTCGGTGGAAACTGCAGATCAAACATTTTTTTTGGTAAAGTTTTAAGTTTTGTCCGATTTGGCTTAAAATTGTTTTCAAAGCTCTACACAAAAATTTAGTGAATACGTGTTTCAGCTATTTGGAAAATTCCACCTGCAACAGTGGTGAATTGCCGGAAAACGTTTGTATGAAAGTTGTTGTTTACCGTCCGATCAGTGTGAAAATCAATTAACTTTCACACGTTGTACTCTGGCTTGCAATAATGATGTTATCAGCAACAGATCTGATTAGAATGCCCTTAGATTAAATTCAGAGCGATCTCAGAAGTTTTTGCGAAATACCTTCATAGACTTCTTTGTGTCCGATGATAGAGACGATTCCTGATAGGATAATGCAGTATTAACATAAAATTTAATTCCCTTGCAGACTGAACCTTTTCATTATGTTCATAATGCTTTGCTCGTATCTAAGAAGCACACGGAAAATAGTTAATGCCGAGTATGGATAGGATATTTTGAAAAAAAAAGTTATTTTGTACAAGAACCTGATTTTCGACCGATCGTCTCTATGGCAGCTATATGATATAACGCTTTAATGTAACATACGTGTAGATAATGAATAAAAAATACCTGGTTTGGTCAAAATACCTCGATAAACAAAAAAAATGTTCATACAACAACTTAATTTTTCACCAATGTTCCTTTTGTCAGCTATATGATATAGTGTTCCGATGTTGATAGGATTTTCTTTTTATATGAGGAACTCATTAAAACTAGTTAATGTCAAGTTTGGTAAAGATATATAGATTAACTAAAAAGTTTTTCATACAACTTTTTGATCGATCTTTCCTAGCAGCTATATGATATATATATGTCTCGTTGTTGATAGGATTATTGCATATATATGAAGACCATTGTAAAACTAATAAATGCCGCTTTGGTCAAAATATCTTAATAGGCAGCCAAGTTTTTCATACAAGAAACTACATTTCGACCGATCGTTCCTATGGCAGCTATATCATATAGTAGTCCGAACCAGATAGTTCCGATAACTCTATCTACTGCGTGCGAAAGAAAGAGGGATCAATTTAAAACTGTGAGACTATTTCGCATGGAAACAGGCAGACGAACATGGCTATATCGACCCGGCTTTTGATACTAATAAATAATATATTTACTTTTTGGGGTCGGAGTCGCCTTTTACGCGTTTAACATTTCGAGACAAACCGATTTCATAATGTACATTTAATTACATACATAATTACAATGTAATTTGATTGGTTAACAATTTGATAATGTCTACTTGTTTTGTAATCTCTTATTGTAATGGGAATTTTAATTTTGTCATGAGGTGTGTAACGCATAGAAGGAAAAATATCCGACCCCCCATCCGAGTTGACATTGCCATGTCCGTCTGTCTGCTTCAATGCGAACGTGTCTACTAGTCAGTTTTAGGGCTATCGTCTTGAAACTTTGCTGTTTTCTTACTGCTCCCTACATATTTGGAATTATCAACAACGGACCTCTATATAATGCAGCAGAAATAGGAACGATCAGTCGAACAGTTGGTTCTGATATGGCAACGTTTTGTTATATTAAGATAACTTGACCTGGCTCGCAATGACCAGGCTCGCTTGACCAGGCTGATGAAAATTATTTTGTTTTCAAAAATATTATATATTCAACAAACTCCGAATTTTCGATCTGCACTATTCTCACATATCTAACGAGAAAGAAAGGCTATCTTCGGCACGCCGAAGATCTAATACCCCTGCAGACCCAACCTTTTCACAATGCTTATAGTGCTTTGTCCGTATCTAAGGAAAGGGAAAATAGTTAATGCCGAGTTTGCTCAAGATATCTATTTTGATTAACAAAAAAGGTTTTTAATCAAAAACCTAGTTTTCGACCGATCGTTCCTATGGCAGATATATGATATAGTAGTCCGATGTAAATAAGATTTTGCAAAAATGAAGGGAGCATAGTGAAATCTTTAAATGCCGTGCTTAATCAAAACATCTAGAATGACATACAACAACCTAATTTTCGACCGAGCGTTCCTATGGCAGTTATATGATATAGTGATCCGATCTAAATAGGATTTTGCATATATATGAGAAGCATAGTAGAACTAATAAATGCCGAGTTTGGTCAAGAAATCTTGATAAACAAATTTTTTTTTCATACAACTTAATTTTCGTCCGATCGTTCCTATGGCAGCTATATGATACAGTGTACCGATCTTAATACTATTTTGCATTTATATGAGGAGCATAGTAACACTAATAAATGCCGATTTTGGTCAAGATATCTTGAAAAACAAAAATGTTCTTCATACAAAAACTTAATTTTCGACCGATCGTTCCTATGGCAGCTATATGATATAGTGATCCGGTCCAGCTGGTTTTGACATATGTGCTGCGTGCAACAGAAAAAGGGACTTCTGCAAAGTTTCATTAATATAGTTTTAAAATTGAGAGACTAGTTCGCATGGAAACAGCCAGACAGACATGGCTTGTCGACTCGGCTGTTGATGCTGATCAACAATATATATACTTTAAGGGGTCGGAGATGTCTCCTTCTATGCGTTACGCAAGGGTATAAAAAAGGGAATATATCCTATAATTCTCGTTTTTTTCTGTGTACGAATGATTCCAAATAGTTTTGATTCATTTACATAGTGTCCCACATTCAATTACTTTAAGCTATATTGTTTTTGTTGCGTGATAACACAGATGGAAGCTGTTAGAGTATCTCCATCTGCTTCTTTCCCTTTATGACAGCCTCTCAATATTATAAGTAAGGTAAATGGTTCAGAAGCGTCATATGTGTGAAAAATAAAAATCATCTTTTCATTTCTTAAATAAACAATGACAACAAAATAATTTAAAATCAATTATTCTCACGCAAACCTTTTTCATTTTTAGAAAAAATAGCATAAGAAACTCAACAGTGATTGGGTGACTCAGCACAAATTGTCATTTTGAATATATTTACTTAAAAGCAAAGTAAACAGTTTCAAGTGTTTAGCATGAACAGTTTTCTGCCTTTTCTGTTTATTTTTCGATGTGTTTACAAAAATTTTCTAAATATTAATATATTTACCTATTTACGTACATATGTATGTTCAAATATATATATATATATATATATATATATATATATATGTATATGTATATATATATGTATATGTATATCTAATTCATACACACATATGTTTGTTTGTGTTACTGAGATTAGGTAAAAGAAGGTAAATTTAAAATATACAACTCCTACAACATTGGTTAGCAAGGAAGAATGTCTTAGTGCACATCTTTAGAGCCAAAATTTTGCTCATAGAAAACTGGTTTTTTAATAGTGGTTGGAAACTTTTAGGGAGCGATCATATTTGCAGTATGTCGGATGGTGATTGATGTTTCATATGACATAAACCATTTATTACATTTACTTTCTAAAACACTTATACATAAATTATTAATCGATTTCAAAATTGCAATTGCTGATGGGACGCTTTATCTGGCACATAGTTTTATGTGTACCGTTGCAATGTATGACCTTAAGCTCAAGTTCTTAAATTACCATACATAGAAACAAGTTCAGGAATTGAGTTTTTCGGATAATAGAATATAATAATCTACTTGTGATATTCCTTCATGCAAAGTGTCATAATTTTGAACGTACTGCCTTCAACAGAGAGGCAGACGTAAACAAAGTCTCCTATTACATTCACGTTACGCTTATTAAGTATTATTATTAAAGTTAAGTTTGTTATGGTACGAAGAATTGGCGGTGATATTCTGTTTTTTATTTTTTATTTACGTACTTGCAAATCTGGGATCGTTTGCAGTTGATCCATACCAGGAAGCCGAGCCCCTCATATCCGTGTAGTGTCCTGCCAATGATAAATTATCTGTAGGTCCACAATAGCTTTGTACTCCCGGACTATGATACAATGACCCCATAGCATACGGATTCGCCATTGTTGAAGTACTAATTGCTCCAGGGGAGTTAATACTACTACCACTTGAGTTAGACCTGGAATAAATTAAACGAACATTGTTTTAATAATATGGAGAGATTTTTATACATTTTCCGTGTGGGTAATTGTTCATAATTTAATAAGAAAATTTTCCCTAGCTGACAATGTGTGATCAAGAGATAAAGTGTATGCAGCTTCGACATACTTAGCATACCTTCATAATTACCTGGGATTGAAATGACGCCACAAAGAGTTGTCAAATCAAAAAAATGTGCGGATACATACACACACATACATTTAAGAAAATATGAATTTTTGAGAGAGAAGTGAGAGTGCCCAGAGTAAGCCAAGGCAGTTTCCTGCAGTGGGAGCGAAATAAAAAACAGCGATGCCGTTCTATTACAAATATGGCCTTCTTACTCTCTTGTTTTTTTAGGTCTCTGACCCGAACAAAAATGAAGTTGACGGGGGACCAGAACTAAAGGAAGTCCATGGCTACATTTGTTATAATAGCTGTCCCGTCGGTAAGTTGTATGGTTGTATCAAAGACATTATAAACAGACGGACGGACGGACAGACAAACGGACATGGCTAGATTGACTCGGCTATTGATGCTGATCAAGAATATATATACTTTATGGGGTCGGAAATGCTTCCTTCTGCCTGTTACATACATTTGGATTTTGCACAAATACAATATTCCCTTATACCCATTTTTAATGGGTTCAGGGTATAAAAACCAATTTTACCTACCCACCTAAATAAGCCACAATTTAAATGCAATTGACTCTTTGAGAATACGCGAATATTCTATAGCAACATAAATCTACTGTTGAAAATCAAGATCGGTTAGAAAGCACAAAAGCTATCAAAGAAAACGAGTTTTTGCAGGACACGTGTGCTGTGTGTATGTGATGCTGTGCGGAAATTAATGGTTGGTATGGCTGTGGAGTATCGACGGTGGCAAGGATGTGGTATGTTACGCATTCGAGTCTCATTAGCGGAACTTTTTTTTTGATATCTTATTTTTAATACTGTATCCCCTGGTTGGGAATCCCCGACTAGATGCTCTCAATTGTTTTTATTTATATTTAACAATTCTAGTATATTCATTCATGCTATAGAAAGGATGAAAAAAGTGTAAGGAAGGTAATTTGTGGGTTTTAAGTAGGTTTAGCGTATCCTCTAAATTAAGTATAGAAGTATTTTGGATAATACTAAGTATAACAATGAGGTTAAGTGATGTGATTGCAACATAATTATTCTCTTCCATCTATCGACTCTCAACTAAATCACCTCTAAATGAATATGCAACATTAATATAAAATACATATTTTTAGTTAGCATTAAGATTGTTAGTCCTCCGGATAAGCCCCAGTTTAATGAACGAGGACAAAATATTGTTAAGAAAATTAAGGTTTTAACAGATAGAAGCGTTAATTTGTATACCCTGAAAATGGGTAAAAACGGTATTAGGTATTTGTGCAAATGAATGTAACAGGCAGAAGGAAGCATCTCCGACCCCATAAAGTATATATCTTCTTGATCAGCATCAACAGCCGAATCGACCTAGCCATGTTCGTCTGTCTGTTCGCATGTATGAACGCAAGGATCTCAGAACCTATAAGAGCTATAGAAATTTCAGCTGTAAGTCCTCCTAGTTCATGCGCAGATCGTGTTTGTTGCCGATAATCGATAACTTACTCCGTTTCTAAGAAATCGATGAAAAGCGATATCGAAGTCCTATTTTTATTTTAATGCAATTCACTTTTTGAGAATACACAAATATTCTATGGTACAATTAGATATACTGTAGAAAATTTCATTAAGATTGGCTAAGAAATACACAAAAGTTATGTGGTTAGCCCACGTGTTTGCCGCAGCTAGCGCAATTTCCAAGAATTTCTGTATACATGTACACACACACTGCATGCGCATCTGCTTCGAATTCTAACAACAGCATTGCAATTGCGATTGTATTTTTTTTTCTGAATACGAATTAATAATTGGTGTGGCTGTTGAATAATGGCGGCGACAAGTGGTGCGCTCTGTTGTAAATTCGAACGCTACCGCTGAAACCATTTTTTGTTGTTTTTTTTTTTTTTTGGCTGGTGTGGCTGTTGTGTAGAGGCGGCAGCAAGAAACACGGTCGGACGGTTGGGAGTTCGAACCCTGCCAAGGGAACCTTTTTTTATTTTAATTTATCTTTGTTACTAGTAAAGCCAAGGAGCGCAAGCTGCATTTGGTGTTGGAACAAGTGGTTTCAGGGTATTCCCTGAGGATCTGAGATCCTTGCGTTCATACATACGGACGGACGGACATGGCTAGATCGACTCGGCTATTGGTGCTGATCAAGAATATATATACTTTATGGGGTCGGAGAAGCTTCCTTCTGCCTGTTACATACATTTGGATTTTGCATAAACACAATATACCCTTATACACATTTTTAATGGGTTCAGGGTATAAAAATCATACCAAAATAATAGAGATTATGATAGCTTGTTTTTTAAGTTTTAAGTAAAAATTCGAATATAATTAACAAGTTAGTGACTAGTTCAACTATTCAAGAAAATCCTTCCAGCGCTATATAATCAATTTTCGAAAACGTGGGACACAAACTTATGCGTCGATAAGCACCAGAAATCTGGAGACTGACATCCGAATAATTCAGACAATGGCGTGTTTTCTTTATATAAATATATAAACAAACATGAAACAAGAGTCCTCTAGTCGGTAGTGCCCGACTAGGAACTAGCCGAATCCATCTTTTACCAACATCAGAAAAGCTCGTGCGCAATTTAAAAGATGCAATTCTTACATATTTAATTGATTGGGGTAGAAACTAACATTATTGAAAAAAAAAATAAGTTCCCTCCTGCGGTTTCAAACTGTGCCAGTTTAACAAAGCGAACTACTAGCCATAGCCTTATATAGCGATACCCTGTACCCTCTTCTACCAGCACCACTTGAAGTAATAAAAAAACATATTATTAAAATTTCGCTCAACTGGATTCGATCCAGTAACCGGCTGACCACCGCCCCTACTACTACTATAAAAACTAATTTTCAACGAAAAAAAAAAATAAAACCAATTAAAACGAGAAGGAAGGGCTATCTTAGGCACGCCGATGTTAAAATACCCTCGTAGACCGATTATTTTTATAATAATCATAATGATTTTCCCGCATCTATGAAGCACTAGAAAAATAGCTAATGCCGAGTATGGTTAAGATATCTTGAAAAATCAAAAGTTTTCCATACAACAACTTAATTTTCGATCGATCATTCTTAGCTACATGATAGTGGTCCTCTGTTGATAAAATTTTGCATATACCTATTTGAGGATATAGTAAAACTAATAATCGCCGAGTTTGGTCAAGATATCTTGATAAACAAAAAACTTTTTTTTATACAAGTACCTACTTTTTGGCCAATCTTTCTTATGGTAACTATATGATGTAGTGAGCCGATGTATATAAGATTTTGCAATAATATAGGGTGCATAGGATAGAGCATATATGAGACGCGTAGTAAAAGTAATAAATGCCAAGTTTGCTTAAGATCGAAAGAGGGACTTATGCAAAGTTCGAAGACGATAGCTTAAAAACTGATATACTCGTTCGACGGACATATCTATATCGACTCAGCTGTTGACACTGATCAAGAATTTATATAAACGTTATAGGGTCAAAGATGTCTCCTTCTATGCGTTACACATTTCGCGACGAAATTATAATACCCTCTGCGAGGGTATAATAACAGCACATTCCCATAGAACAGAATACAATACAATCGCATATAAATATATAAAGACGCGCATGTATGTATAGGGTCATTTTTAATTATCAATTATCATTAGTAATTATCAAACCTATCCGATTTTTATTAGAGTTTAAAATTGCAGCCTACATATACCAAACCATCAGAATTGTAATTCTATTTATAGTTAATTTTCTGCAGTTATTCTTAGTATTTCATTGAGGATTGGTTATTCTACCATTAAGTATACGCAATCTATGATACTATATGAGGAGCCACATGGCTCATTTGGAAACTCTGTAAGAAACCATGAGATATGATAGAAAAACAGGAATTTTATATCGACTTGTATCGATTTCATGGAACCGGGACGAGCTTTTTATGCATAATATAAATAAATTGAATCAAGATCGTAAAACACGGACAATAAGAGGACACACAATCTAATTCGCTTATACCTCGCTCTTATGTGTTCTGAATCCATTATAGCCTTACAACTAATTTTCACGTACAATCAAGTTTTTCCACATTTTCTTTCCAAAGGGTGGACTTCAAAAATGGTATTAATTTCCCACCCTGAATAACCTGAAGTGGGTCGTCTTTGTGCACAAGTAGTACGAGTCTAATAAAAGTCATCGATAACCTTATCCGTTTCCATGGAATCGAAAAAAATGGATCTTGAATGTTGTATTTTGAGCATATCTCATAAGTTTTAGAAGCTAGAGTAACCAAATTTGACACGTAGCTTCTCGAAATGTATATACAGATCCAGTATATATCTATTCTTAAGCTGACAGCTCGGAAGGTGATGTAAATTCACGCCCACAAAACTAGGCCAGGAATACCCAACTAGCAAAAACTGTGAACCTTCTTCTATCACAACCAGAAGCTGCTCGAGCTACTCACTCGGTTACTTAAGCTCTTCAAGCTACATTACGTAAAAACCAGTGACTGGCAAGAATACATAAAGTATATATATTTTTGATCAGCATCACAAGCCAGGTCTATCTAGCCATGTCGTCCGACTGTCCGTATGTATGAACGCAAGGATCTCTGAACCTAGAGACATGAAATTTAAGCTGTAGGTCCTCCTAGTCGATAAGAATCGATATCGAAATCCAGTTATTGAACAAAACTGGTAAATAATAACAGCTAGAGTCACGAAACTTGACATGTAGCTTTTAGAATAATATATACATATTCATATATCAAGTATCTTTCATTTTATAGCTATCACCACCTCCCCGCAAGCTCCTCATAGCTATGAATATATTGAATAAACCAATTTTTATTTTCCACCATTGTTAAATGCAATTGCATTTTTGAGAATATACAAATATTCAATAGTACAATAAGATCTACTCTAGAATATTTTTATTAGGTTAAGAATTACAGAAGATTTAAAGAAAACATGTGCATGCGCAAATATCATAAAGTTCTGTATACATGTACACACACATTTATGTGCATCTTCTCTGAATTCTATCAACAATTGCGATTGTATTGTTTTCTGTGCTGCTATTTTAATCCGTTCTTTTCTCATTAAGACTCAATTATTGGTGTGGCTGTTGGGTAGAGGCGGTGGCAAGTAGTGTGGTCTGTCGCGAGTTCGAACACTAGCGAGGGACCTATGCATTTGGTGTTGGAAAAAGAGGGTTCAGGGTATCGCCTAGTCGGGAACTCCCGACTAGAGCCTCTTACTTGTTTAATAATGAACTTACCGAAATGGAGATGGCGGGTTACCGTTTATTTCCAGTTTGCGGTATGATTCCTCTATTGGACTTAGAATATCAGTCACACTAAACGGAGTTGAGTGGTTGTTGTTGAATATAGTACTATGATGCTGGGTATGCAAGTTCTGAAGATGTTGAATACTAGACAGACTATGGTGGTGATGTGCAACCGCGACAGCGGCTGCCGCAGAAACCGAGTTCTGTGTTGATGTATCGTTTGTATTATGTTTTAAAAGTGGTTCCAACTGCTGCTGCTGAGAAGCCGCTGTGGGTATAAGTATGTCTTTTTGAGATAAACTCATAACCAAATCTGCTTCATTACCCAAACTAGATTCCTCTTCTTCAGGTTTTGCTCGAAAGCACCGGCGTTCATTAAATGATGTTTTAGTTATATTTGATGCTGACATACGAAAATTTTTACTCTAATCGTTACTTTCAAATTTGTTGAATCTACAAATATAGAGAATAAACATATACAATTGTTTGATTACATAAAACGACTTAAGCGACATAAAAGGACTATGTCCGTTGAACTCAGCCATTTTACCCTGTCCCATTGAAATGAATAAATAGGATTATGGGCTTGTGCAATTTTATGTAACAGGCCAATATTTCCCACCTCATAAAACATATGCTTGACCTGTCTTTTGTCCGATCTTAGAGATTATGCTAGCTAGAAATTACACAGATCTAGTTGATTACAAAAAATTGATAGCTCACTCTGTTTCCAAGAAATCAATAATCAGTTTCATCGGGAGTGCCCGACTAAGAGATATCCTATACACCGAGCTGTAGTTGCAAAATATTTGAAATTGTTTCTAAACACCGGTGCATTTTTTTCCTTTAAAGTTTGTAGCCGAAAAATAAGCTTGTTAAGGGTGAATATTGCAAGAAATGCTAAGTGCATTAAAAGGCAATCGAATGGTCAACACAAAAGTGGCAAGCAGTATTTCAAAAATTGCTTAACTCAACTACTTAACATATTTTCATGTTGAGCTTTAAAGATAAGTTTGAAACTGACCGACCTTTTTAACCTTTGACGCCTATTTTTCGCCAAGTAGGGGTGGAATTTCCGAAAAGAGTGGAACACGTTACAAACAAATTGTTTCAAAATCTGGGCAATTTCGCCCATTCAAACGTAGAACCACATTTTTCACCGCCTCTTCGTCCGCTTCCCAACAAATTGCCACACTAGATTGAAGCTCTAGAGGGCTTCGAAAATAAGTTTAAAGCCAATCGGAATAAACTTAAAACTGCTCCCAAAAAGCCTTCGACTTGAATTTTATTATCTAATACGCTTGGTTTTAGGCCAGTCGAATGGAAATCTTTGTGTGAACCTCCATCACATAAGGTAACTTAGTAAATAATCAGCTTCCTAGCTGTTGCGACTTGGACTGTGCGTTGATCAGTCAATCAGTCAGAGCAGTTTATAATTAAATCAGGATATAAACATGTAGGAAGCTCTAGTCGGGAGTTCCCGAAAGGCGATACCCTGAGCCCTCTTCTAGGAGCACCAAATGCAGCTCGCGTGAAGAGCTCGTTTGCTTTAACAGTAATACAAATAAATTTAAAAAGGGGAAGACTTCCTCAATTAGAATTGGACTCATAGTCGATCGAATTAATTGCCACGGCAATACCAACAATTCATTTTGGAGGAAAAATAACGAATTAAAATAGCAAAAAATATACACAGCACAGAATACAATCGCCATTCCAATGCTGTTTATAGAATTTTAAAAATACGTGCACCTTGCACTTTGCGCTAGATACAGCATCACATCTCAATATAAGCAATGCTTTTTGTAATAACTCATCAGCAGTAGATTTTTTTGTGGCATATAATGTTCGTATATTCTCGAAAGGGCAATTGATTTAAAAATGTGGCTTTCAATTAGTGTGTAGTTCTAATTGATTTAGTTATTTGATTTATAATTATTGGGTTGTAGCGGGGTGCCGATCGCAAGATACTTTGGTGTCTCTCACTCTTGAAGTCTAAGAAATTTGCTATAAAAACAGGATTTCAAAACCAAAAACTAGTCAAATTATCGATTATCAGAAATAAAATCGTACTGCGCGGGCACTAGTAGGACCTTCGTAACAAATCAAGATTAGCTTATAGGTTCTGAGATCGACGTGTTCAGACAGACGGGCATGGCTAAATCAACTCGGCTATTGATGCTGAACAAGAATATATATATTTTATGGGGTTGGAGATACCTCCTTCTAACTATTACGAACATTTGCAAACAACTGATGTTTCGCACGAGTACGCATTTCGTTGACACATGGTTGCTTATGCAAATAAATGTATACAAAAAGCCTATTTCAGGCTTAAAAGCAAAGCAATACACTATTTCACAACTTATTTAATGGACAAGTAAGAACGGTGCAGTGAATAGTGGCCGGTTACAAAAACCCAACTGTCAACCAAATGTTTTGATTTGTAGCGCTTCGCTTCGAATTCTTGAAATCTAAAATTATAGTCCATTATGAATTTCGCTGCTGCTTCCGCCTGTGACACACTATTGGCAATTTATTGTTGAAGAACTTTTGTGTTTGTTGATCGATCTTTATCCTTGTAAAAAAAAGTTAACTGTTCCTAATCTTGTTATATGAAATACAAATATATTATAATACTAGTAGGTATAGCCCGGCCTTGCCCGTGGCACTTATGTAATAACATCAATGTTCTCAGAAAGCTTTGAAAATGATTTTGAAACTGAGCGGGCGGTAAATAAACTACTCTCATACAAACGTTTTTCGCTAATTAACCACTTTTGTGGCTAAAATTTCCCAAATCGCTAAAACACGTATTTATTATGTTCTTTTTCAGAGCTCTAAAAAAAGTTTGAAGCAAAACGGACAAAAAAGTTTCATACAAACGTTTTTCGCGATATTTCCATACTTGCGGGTGGAATTTCCCGAAACCCCGTCTTAACGTGCCCCTTCATCACATAAGGTAACTACAATGAAAATTTCAGCTTCCTAGCTCCTACGGCTTGGGCTGTGCGTTGATCACCAATCAGTCAGTGTATAGAGATGGGCTACACATACATAATATATGTATAAATTTCGGGATAAAACCTAAAGCAGCTAGATACACCCGATTGGTATGTTATTGTATATTGGTAAGGTCCACCTAGAGCACACACGGATCGATTTTTTTTTTAAAGGGCATACGGATGAACAGACATACGGACAGACAACAATGGCAACAGCTACTTGAGTGTTGAAGCTGATCAATCAAATATTATTTAAGGGGTTGCTTTTTTACTCATATTCAATGCGTTTAGGCTTTGCTCTTGCAGACTGTTTTAGTATTTGGTCGGGATATCTGAAACACACTAATGAAGATTTCTTCGTTTCCATAAGGCATGTATATATATACGAATAATGAGTTTCTGTTTTTTCTTGCGCAATTTAGTCACCCACAGTTCAAGCCATTATGGTAAAACTAGATAAAGACCGTCGGGTTTTTGTAGCCCCGAAATTACCAAAAAGAAACTTATCATTAACTGATTTCCAAACTCACCAATCATCGAATCATTATTATGCTATAAGTTATCAACATTAATTATATGTCTTTCCTATGGCGATTTCCGCTGTTATAGTAGCGCTCAGACGACACATATGGACAAAAGAAACCATTTTCCGAATTTATTTTACCATATACTTGCTCTTGCCTTAGTATATAAGTAGATACACCCAAGCTGCTAGATTTAGGCGGTGGATTTACTTATATTTCTTCCGATAAACACACACGATGCACACATTCTTAAATAAGGATATCTTCGGCACGGCGAATATTTAAAATCATTAATTTGCCTTACAGTTGTGCATATATTTGAGAATAGTGAAGCCCGAAAGTGCTGAGTTTGATGAAAATATCGCTTAAAACAGAATATTTAACCAAACAAAGAATAATTTTCGGCCAATTCTTTCTTTAGAGCTATATAATATAGTAGTGAAAAATATATTAGATTTTTTCCCATCTAAAAGAAGCATATTGTAAAAATTAATTGTTGGGGTTGGTCAAGATATCCCGCTAGCCATAAAAGTTTTCTTTCAAGAACCTACTTTTCCACCGATCGTCCGTATGACAGCATAATATAGTATTCCGATGTTAATAAGATACACATATGTACGGAATATACTGAAATTAATAAATGCCGAGGTTGGTATCTTGATATCTTGATAAGGAAGAAAGTTTTTCATCGAACCACTTAATTTACGACCGAGTAGTAGTAGCTTCCTGTAGTAGCTATATATATATATTGCATATTAGCCGATCCGGCCGGCTCCAACATACATATGTGCTGCCTCCAAAAGCAAAACGGACTAATGCAAAGTTTCAAAGCGATAGCTTTAAAATTGAGAGATAAGTTTGCCAGATGTTAATACTGATGTAGATAAATCCGAATTTAACAGAAACAGAAATACTTGTAGATATTTTAGCAGTAACTTAATATATACATGTACATAAAGCCTGTATGACACTTTTGTGCATACAGACATACATATGTATAAGCTCGGCTGTTGTTTTTGTTAATGCTTTTGACTTTATATAAACTTTTTGGGGACAGAAATGCTTCCTATGCCTGTTACATACATTTTCTCAAAACCCGTATGGCATTTTTACCCATTTTCAATAGGATCAGCGTATAATAGATACAAATTAAAATTTCATTCTATTAATAGTTAACAATTTTCAGATAATATTTCTTCATACTTTATTCATTATGAGTGCACTTTTTAACTTTGAATCTTCCGTGAAGAAATTTTTGAGTATCACTGTTATTCAATTTTATAAATTATACAAACTAATGTGATGCTATTATCAACTATGTTTGGTATACAATAATTTTAGCACCAGCATTGGCTAAGCTGTAAGCAATTGTTTACGGTCATTATCTTCTTTTAACAAAGCACTAGAGTATGTAACACAAATTTTTTGTTTCTGCTGCACAATATATGTATAGTATGTAAAATTAAAGACATAAGCCCACGTCAGTGAATTTATTATGAATATCCACTCGACACGATTCCGTCAAATGAAATAAGAGGTCTGAACAGTACTGACGAGTACTCCTCAGATGGCTTCTGGATAGCCCTCGAATAAGTTTTTCCTATTAACGATAACTCTGCACTGTTGGTACTGGCTACATACTTCGTTGAACAAAACAAACATCAAAATATTGCCTATTCATTTTAATGAAACTAACCAATAAGAGAGCAGAGACAACAACGATGGGCTGGCATTGGAATTCAGAGCTAACTGGCTTTAGGCCGCTTAAATAATGCTTGCCTCCTCTTAAACATACTTGTTTCACTCACTCTTTAGAACGTGAAAGGCAATCACGTGCGTTAAAAAGAGAACGATGTCATTATATACAAATATTCTTTGCTGCTTCACTCTTTTTGCTTAGTTCACCAATAGGAAATGACTTTGTTTCAACCCTCATGGGACTTGAGGTCGCATTTTTGAAATTAGTTCAGGAATGTTAAATGCATTTTTAAATTGTTAAATTTCCCTTACTATTGTGTATAAAAATATCATTGCTTGCTAAGCTTGTATTTTCACACAACGCAACAATGCTTCCACGCACTTTTCAGAAGTACCAACTCAAAATCGTGTAAAAACTTTTGACGAGTCTGTGTGGACTGCTTTTACATAATGGAATTGATAAAAAGTGGAGTATCTATACCAAATTTAAATCAATCCAATATCGTATTGAAACTCTTTTAGGTACAATAACTTTAAAATATTTAACAAGTAACAGTTTTCGGTGTATGAGTTGTCAGTGACTCAGTCCTTCTTTAATCCTAATGCCATTTAACAAGTTAGGTTGATAGATTCTAACTACTATATTACATATTATAATAATAATTATAATAAATAAATATGATAATAAAAACATTAATAATTTTAATAAAATAATAAAAAATAGTAATAGTAATTAACAAAAGGTCTTCTTCATGGCAAATAGTTGGTACTCTAGTCAACCCCACTAGGGGATTCTTTGAAAGCCGCGATAAGTTGCCACCACAAACATTCCAGTTTTCGCTTCGGCTGCGCCGCTTCTTCCGTTAGCCCCACAAATATGCACTGCGTGGTTGATTGTTCAATCTTTATGTGTTTTTTTTTTAAGAAAAATATTCTGGATCTGTTTATACTATAAGAGGGTCTATATATCACATTTGCTGCCTCTAATTTGAGATACACTAAGAACACGGGATATAGATATAGATTTTTGAGTATTTTATGGAAGCGGGAAAAGTCATCGATGATTTAAAACAGACTCGTACTCTCGTGGCATTTTCAGATTCTGAAATTGACGCATATAGAGATCGACTCGGCCCTGATGCTGAAGATTGAATACTGAAGAATAATGACTTTTTGCTAGACAAAATATCGTTTTCAACCGATTCTTCTTATAGGGCTATGTGATGTAGATTTGGATCATATATTAAGAACAAAGTAAAGCTGTTATGGTCGAGTTTGATCAAATTTCGTGTAAAACAAGAAGGGTTTTCATACAAGTCCCTTATTTTCGACCTATCATTCATGACAGCTGTATAACATAGTTGTCCGATCCGGCCGGTTTCGCCACAGGTACTGCCTGCAAAAGAAAATTCAATGCAAAGTTTCGAAAGTATAGCTATAAGCCTGAGAGTTCGCATATTAACAGCCAAAATGACAAGCGGATGTTGATACTGATCAAGAATATATATAATCTACCGGGTCGGAGATGTCTTCTATGCCATAGCAATTTAATTACAAAACTACAATACCCTCTCAGGGAAAATAATATATATTTTCAAATGTACTCTGTCGGGAACGTCCGACTCTTAAATACTTTAAGCTAGAGCTGGCACGAGCCAGGATGTTGCGAAACTGTCGAACGCGATCTTCTTCGAGCACGCACAACCGCGGACCGAAGAAATGTACCGATGCACGGCCAATCCCAGCCAAACAAGGACAAAATTTACTTTTTCTTCATTTCAAAAATTTTATTATTTGAGAACCCAGTGATAATTTTAAGACAGATACATAAATGTGACGAATGTGCCGATTGATGTTGTAAAGCCCCGTTGGCTAGTCGCAGAGCTAGCTGGAATGCAAATTATTTGCATAAGTACACATAACTTTTAAATTAGTTGATTCCTTCTGAATCTGAGAATAGGATTATCCCGATCAGCTTTTATTGCATTACATTTTACTCTCTCAATATCTATTTCACTTCTACTCTCTCTTTTTATTTGCATACCCAATAAATATAATTAAAAAGGGCTTTGTGTTAATGAATGTGACAGGAATCACATCATTGGTTAATATGGCATCCAAATATGTGTGCGTTCCAAAACCATCAAAAACGTTGCCTTCTTCCATTCAAGGGAAGCCGATAAAATATCTAAAAATAAAATATTTTGGATCTGTATATAATTTACTTGATTAACCAATGTTTCTTCAACGATATTGAAATAATTTTTAACAGAAAATCTTATTGTGTTATAGAATATTCGCCTATTCTCAGAAAGACAATAGCATTAAAATTACGATATTATAGTTATAATATATAGATAGTTCTAATTGACTTACTTCTTCAATTTATGGCTATATGGTGGGTGAAAGGGGGAAGGGGTTGTGCCGATAGCTATTAAATGAAAGACACTTGCTCTGTAATTAATATTCTAGAAGTTAAATGTTAGGTTTGGTCACTCCAGCGATGAGCGATCGGCAGTGCTTTACAAGGGTGGAGAAATCCGACGCAAGGGTTGGAGAAATTTTTCTTGGTGTCAAACTGGTGGCTGCTGATAGACGGGATAGACATAGTCGTTGCAGCGATGCAGTCACTGACTATTAACTGAAGACTAAATAGAAGATTTTCAATATTAAATTCTCAGTATTGGTACTGGCTTGTATATGTACTTAATAGAGGTGGCGAATTCATATTTAGTCTATTACAGAGATTTAAAACAAACCATCAATATGAACATTAAATGGGTTCATGGTTTAAAGAGTCTTATAACAATACCAAGGGCGAACGTATGGATGGGCCAACAAAACATATGCACACGACGAGGGAATACTTTAAAACTCACAAAAGCTTAACTCGAAAATGCCATAAGTTTTCGTATAAAATCTTAATAGTTCAGCTGATGTTCATGAAATTTGATCATGTATAAGATGCTCCACTATATGCAGAGTTTCATTAATATAATTGGGAAACAAATGACTTTTTCATACAAGAACTTAATTTTAGACGGTAACTCTGTCAGCTATATGATATAGATGTATGATCCGTCTGATTCCAACATAAGTACTTTTCGTATCAGAAATATTAGCATTTTCTTAATTTCATGACTTTAGCTTTAAAACTGACAAACCAGTTTTCATAGAAATAGTAAGACGGACGGACGGACATGGCTATGTCGACTCGGATTTTGATCAGATCAAATATAAATATATATATACTAGCGGGTATTGCCCGGCCTTACCCGTGGCACTTATAAAATAAATTATCTCAAAGATCATTAAAAATGAGTGAAACCGATCGTATGGAACAAATACTTTCATAAAATCGTTTTCCGCCAATTTACCATTGTTGGGAGTGAAATTTCTCAAGTCGCTAAAGCACGTATACATTTAGTTCTTCTGTACTCTTTGAATCGCACTTCCCACCGAGGAAGCTTTGATTTTTCGAAATATGTGCAACACGTCTCAAATGATTTTTGATTGCATATGTATTTGACCCCCATTTCCACCAAGGAGGAATGCAATTTTCGAAAAGTTTGAAACACCCCTAAAATGAATCCTTAAAAATGAGTTTGTGGCCGGTTGGATGGTATACAAAAAAGTTTCATACAAACGTTTTTCGCGATTTTACCACACTTGCGGGTAGATTTTCCCGAAACATAACCATTTACCACAGAAGGTAACTACATTTACAGCTTCCCCAATCACCAATCAGTCAGTCAGTTAGAACAAACAGTTTTATATATCATCTTGATCACCGATCAGTCAATCAGGACAAACAGTTTTATATGTAGATGTACATGCAGTCGAGTTTTGACCAATCGACAAAAATAAAAATCGACTCGAAACTGCTTTGGCTCACGCTCCATATGATTTGTGCGTTAGAACGGCATCGCTGGGTGTGAAATGAATTTGAACAAAAATCTTTGAAAATGAGTTTTAGGCCAATTGGATGGTAAGCAAAAAACTTTCATACAAACCTTTTTCGCTAATTAACCGCTGTTGTGTGTGGAATTTCACAATTCGCTGAAAGACGCATTCATTAAGTTCTTATGTAAAGTTGCAAGGCCTCTACGCAAAAACGAACACTTAGTCTTGAAATTGTCAGGGCATAAATATGTAATCCAAACGGGTGCATATTTACAAAAGCAGGATACAAAGTGAAATATATGTAAAAGCTTTATGTGGCCGGAGGTGATTCCATTTTCCTGTTAAAAACATTTTCGCAAAACCCGGCCAGACAATACCCTGCACCCAATACCAAGCTGACGTTAAATAAAATGTATGGTTGTTAGAAAGATATTAAGTTTAAGTTGGAGGCCTAAACGTCAGCTCCAGAGGTAATATTTTTACATTGGATTTGGAAGCAGTGCCCAAAAGATGTATGTAAATAACGTTTTATAGAGCAGCTCTGCCTTAATTACCGCTTATATTCTTTGCTTTTAGATTTAGTTTCTCTTTAGCTTTCATGTGTGTGCTCCAGGGTAAGCGGCGGTCGATTGTCAACCTAGGTATTTTCCGAGGTTTTCAAGGGTATTGTAGTCTCATTGAGCCGACTCAACTTTTTCGCAGTTTAACGTAAAATTTCTTCTCAACACCAGGTTTTGAATCTCTGGTGACTAGGAAGTCATTTATTTTTTCTTTTTTGGCATTTTTTTTTCAACTATTTTCGCTGATTGGTCCGCTGTATATGACGCGGTTGCTCTAAATTGTTGTTATAACATCCTTCAACCCATTGTTTGCTTCATCTTAGCCAACCTGGCTTACTCCTAGCCCATCAAACCTAAAAAATAT